GACTTAAGTTTATGTAATGTTTTAAATGAGCCTTTATGAAAGCTCTAATTGTGGCATATCCTTGGTGAAACCAGGGGATCATCAGAGTCGGAGCCAGAGATTGGCACTGCGCCAAACAAACGAGGCCCTAAAACCTCCGCCACAACAGTCCCCAAGAGCAGTGCTGTTCCGCCCCCAGGGAACCAACGCAAGAATGGCCCAAAGCCTGCAGCTCGACCTCAGCAGGCTGCAACCCAGAAGCCCCCCAATAAAACTCAACAGCAGAAGGTCTCAGGTGGTAATGCCACTGCTCAGCAGAAGAAGACAGCACAAAGCAAGAAAACTATAGGTAGATTAGTGTGTGGAATTTGGATGAGTATGAGGATTGGCTGTATTGTGAAAGTTGTTTTTAGATTTTTTTTTTTTTTTGAGAACAGGGGAAAGGAATATGAACAAGGTCTATCACATTGTTGTACTTTATTCATAGAGTTATTTCTCTTTCATTTATCAGTTTTTCTGTAAATTTGTTATTGGTAAATGGTAAAATTTGATAGAATCTTTCACATGAACAGTAGGTCTCTTAATATATACTCGTAATTCTCCTTTGTTTTTACGTGCTCCCAGACATTTAGAAAATTAATATAAACAGATAGAGGATGTTTCAAGAATGTATTTGAATATGTCATTTCCTCTCAGTAAAAAGCTCATAAGCTTTGTTAATCTTTGATAATCTTTTTATCATTAAAAGTATGATCTTGATTCCCAGACAACAGCACAGACTCCGAGAGTGAGGCCAAGAAGCCCGTCCCTAAGAAAGCTGCTCAATCTAAGTCACAACCAAAGCCTCAATCGAAACCACAACCAAAGTCCACAGCTTCCCAAAAGGCCATAGTTCATCAGCGGAAGGGAACCACGAAGGTTGTCGAAAAGTCTTCGGAGAAGTCCTCTGAATCGTCAACAAATTCATCATCAGCATCATCAGGTATTAGGTTCAGAATCATATTTCAGAAATGCATTTGATGCATACACAACTATGTGTGCTTATACATTGCTTATATACCCATGCATGCATATATGTTTTGACACATTCCCTTACACACTTACCCATACACACCATTCTATACTGACCTTCCTGAATACACAAGTATACATGTACACTATAGGCTAGAATTCTATAGTGACTATTTTTGTGGGAAAACAGAGATGCATATGCTGTTGCATAAATTCCATTTATTTTATATGAATGGCCGACTGAATAGGAATGTGATCTGGAATGTCCATGAATGTCATTCTGGACATCCTAGAATGTCAACCATATTTTAGAAATTAAAGGGACCACTTGAACTGTTGTTTATGCCTGAAAATTTGGAATCAAGTATATCCCTATTTGCTTGCTTATTTAAGGCAAAGAAAAAAAAAATCCATCTATGACTTCCATCCTCTGTAATGTGTAATATCTGTGATTTTTCCTTCAGGAGGAGCTATACTATTATCAGTACTGAAACACATGTGAAGTAGAAATAACTAAAGAAAAGAACATCTGTAATAGTAACTTAAAAGGCTAGATATATAATTTTTTTTCCATTTGTTCATTAGATATCAATTTATAGATAGTTGAATATATGTGGACTTATTTTTGATACCACTACTTTCAAGCAACCAAGAAAGGTTATGTTAAGGGCTTAATTGAAATAAAGAATTAATAAATACCTTGAGCCCCCAACATTTAATGCAAGCAGAGGCACTAGTTATCCAATCTTCCTTAGAATTATTATTTTTCATCTTTTACATGGAGGAAGAAAAAGTTCAAAATTCAACCAACTTCATTAGAAAGAAAAGAAATTTAATGGTTGATCTCCATAAAGAAATACATTGTAGATACGTTACAGTACTAGGGAATGTACTGTAGCTTCATGATAGAATGATTAAAATATTTCATAATTGTTTCTTGTTAGCTTACTTGTGTTTAACTTTCCTTGTACAGAAAGTGACAGTGACAGCTCATCAGATTCCTCAGCCTCGGTCAAATCATCGGACAAACCAGTTGTTGCACAAATAGTCCGGAGAAAGTCACAGACAAAGTCCACACCAGCAACTACTGAAAGTGAAAAGGAAGAAGAAGAAGAAGAGGAGGAGGAGGATGAAGATGAAGAAGACACGCCAAGAAAACACATCACAAGATCATCAAGCGTAAGAACAAAGAGAGGGTCCTTGCTGGGTATCCAGAAAGGAACTGAATCCGATTCTGAAAATAATGGTGAGTCAATAGTGAGCCGGTTAGAGGAGAACTTCAGGTTAATTCACGGGCCATTTGGTATTATTTAGCTTATACTTTTTCTTGGGCATCAATAGTGAGGTTCTGATCTGATTTGATAGTAGGTTAACCCATTCGCGCCGGGTAAAAATGAACAAAATATGGGGAAAATACTGTGCTCATTTTAAAATTTTTTTAATGAAATGTCTCTACACTAGATGGCTCTGCCTTACCTGTTTTCACCTTTACTTGAATTGGTGGGAAAATGTATTTTACTAGTGCTATGAATGTCGATGGTTATTTTTATTATAAACATTATAATTACTATAATGTTATAAACATTAGTAACAGCAAAATAAAATAATGTAAGATATTTTCGTAAATTAAAGAAAAGGGTAGACAGACGACACAGGCAGTACAAGTACAAGTGTAGCCATCTATGTTTGAAAACAATTAAACAAGTAAACTCACAGTGGGCCCATCATGTATACGTGACACCCGGCGTGAATGGGTTAAAAAAACCTTGTGTCATTATAAGTAACTAGTCTACCCAAGAATATTATCCCAGTGCTGTGGGGGATGGCATGTATGTACATGTCATGCCCACTGAGAATTTAGTTTATCAATTGTCTTTACACAGAGATGGCTCCACAAGTACTTAATCACCAAGCTATTAGTTACTATTACTACCTATCTCACATTTTTATCCTTTTCCTCCTTGATTTTAAGAAATAATCTCTTTATTTTATATTAGTGTTAGTATTGCTACCAACTTTATGATAATGCTAAAGTCAGTAACAAATATAACAGCATCATTATTAATAGCATTAGAAAAAATGTTTTCTCCTGAAAACCCAAAGAAAGGGGACATCAGGTGAGATCAAGAAGGTTACTTATTGACTCCTTGGTCGCTGAAGACTTGTGGAGCCATCTATGTGTAAATAGATTTCACAAAACAAAGCTACAATGAACCTTACTTGTGGCGTTGGGTTAAGAAGTTTTTTGCCATGGTAATAGTTGTAGTTGTAGTTGCAGTTCCCGATTAAGTTGCAGTTCTTGTAGTTGTAGTAGTTGTATTAGTAGTAGTTGTAGTAGTTCTAGTATTGTAGTAGTAGTAATGGAAGTAAATGTAATGACATTATTATTTTATAACTCGACCAAAAGGTAACGAAAACTAGCACATGTTAACCGTTTCACATACCACACATGTAGCCTAGCAGATTTACTGTTTGTTGTAGAAAATGAATTTTTAGCTCATTTGAAGGGAAAATGTTGTCTTTTTATAATGAGGATTAAAGAAAAATCCCCAAAGTGGAAATAAAATGCAAAAACAATGAATTGAAGTTATCCCAGGACACAGGTGCAATGTCAGGTTTTCACGACAATAACTTAAGTTGATATGAATATGTGATAGGTGAATGAGATATATTTTGAATTGCATTGCACTAGTCTTTAGAGATAGTGATAGATTTCATTGAACTTTGATAACAGTATGTGTAGTAGATGATGGTAAACCAACTAAAGTTGAGTAAAAGGATTTACAAAGCTGTAGGTTATTTACCTGTTCTTGTCTTTTTTTTATTAACTGTAAACAGAAAGTGAAGTATTAGTTTATTTTATGTTACTATTAGCAGAAATTTGTTTATGTATCTTATAAACTTTGATTAACTTCACAAGAATCTATCTTGGTTGTATCTCTGTAGGAAAAGTAAGAAGAGGGGCCAGGAATGGAGGTCCCAAGAAACCAGCAGGACCACCCTCAAAATCAGGGGCCCGTGCCAAAACAAAGAAGCCTATTCCACTGGTGAGTGATTTGTTTTGAGACTAGAGACAAAAAGAAATATATGTATATCTATATTATGTAACAAGAATGGAGAATAAATTTGATGGGAAATGTTAATTCAACTTGTATGTGATTTCTTGACTGTTTTTGATCTTGAATTTCAGGATATTTTGGAAAATATACCTCTGCCTCCAATCGAGAACCGTAAGTGCCCTGTGGAAGGGTGCGACTCTAGTGGTCACCTTGGTGGCCTTTATGAGAAGCATTTCTCGGTGGAAGCTTGCCCAGTCTTTCATAATATTACAAAAGAAGAATCAAAAGTGAGTATTTTTTATGGAAGTGTTGCAAGTTTTGTTTTGTGTTAGGAATACTGCAAACCTTGATGGAATTATTGTGAATATAGGAATGCAAAAATGCTTATAGACTTGGTGACCTTTCTCCTATAGTTTCTTATTTTGTTTCCTATTTCCATCAGATAAATCGACAGATAAGAGAAGCTGAGATGAAAGAGAGAGAAAAAGCAACTCAGGCTGTTGGTAATAAGTCTCCTAGAAATGGACCTAATTCTGAACAAAGAAATTACTGCAATAAAGTGAGTTATGACCGTATCTGTGATGAATATGGAATGTGAATTCTGAAAGATGGATATTAAGCTCAGTAATGTGGTTCTCTAATGTTGTGTTGATTTAGCTTACTGTGATGAGTAAAATATATGGTTATCCATTTTATCAGGGGGAACCATATATGTCTGCTAATGCTATAAAGTTAAGAGGGAAGGGAGAAAGTGGGGTCTTTTGTCATTTGGGGAAACCGCTTGTGGTATTTTATACATTGTTTCTGATTTTTAAAACTATTGATAGAATTGATGTGAATATAGGAACACAAATGTGCTTATAGACTTGGTGAATTGCACATGTGTGGTGTGGTAACAGTCTGGTCTAGCAATCTTGCTAACCTGCGATCAAATCCCTCGCCACCAGTGGATGGTAACCCTGGCCATTCCTTGCACACATGGGATAACTTAGAAGCAAAATGAAACAGACACTATGTCACAACAAGAATATCCATTGTAACAAATGGAATCAAACTAAACCTTTTAAATCTTTAAAAAACTTTTAGTGTATTATGTACTTATTAGTTATTAGTAAGACTCAAGTTTCTTATTTTACCAGTTTTTGCATCCTTATTCATATGGATGAGGTCAAAGTTCATCAAAGGAACTAATAATCTTTATCTTTACTTTTCACAATTCATTTACAGTAGGTTGCCAACTGTGAACTCTGTAAATGTTCTTTGATGTTAAACTTGTAGATTTTCTTTGGGATTTCCTTATATGTTTATGTTGGGATTTTATTCAGGAAATATATTACTGCAAATATATCACTGTGTATGCAGTGAACTGATTTGAGCGCTGAGGCATTCATAAGTCTAGAACAACCACATTAAGTCGTAGAAATAGTCACACTGTAGCTGTATTGAACAGAATATGTTTCTGAAAAGTTTTGAAGGGAGAATCTCGAAGTTTAATAAAAGGAGTGGAGTTAGTTTTGTTAACAGACTTCCTTGAGATGGTTTAGGGAAAGAAGCGTGCTCTGAGATGCATATTACATTACTTTATTAAGTTAGTTTGTGTGATAGGTACCCAATAGCTTCTTGTGGTTGGTGTTAATGACAATATTTTCTAAGAGTTCTGAAGTAATATTAATCACGAAGTAATCCAACTTTTGTAACATTGCTCATGTCATAGATCTTTACTGAATCAGAGAAGAATTTCTGCAGTTGGACTGTGAAGTGTAATCTTTACAGATAAGAGACTCTAGAGACAAACTGAGCGAACCCCGTCCAGGTGAGGATGAGATGGCGGACAGAGATCGCCAGCCATCCCTCCGAGGTTTCACCCCCGAGTGGGACCTTAAGCTTTTCTTAGAGGCTCAGTCTGCGGCTAGTGAAAAAATAGTAAGTAATATCAACTGTTTTTGACTCTTCGGCTGTCGCTATTTCAGTTTGCAGAAAATATTATAGGGTCTAGCAGCAAGGGAGGTCTTGTATTGATGCTACCAGTTAATGTTTATATAAAATTATCCTAGAGTAATAATGATAATAAAGAAGGTAGGCCCATGGTGAAGGACACATAACCTTGGCTTACAGGTTCTATAGGTTGCCCCCTCCCCCTATGTGCCAGGAATAATCAACAATGGCAGACATGCTCTTACTCCTGAACACTAGATCAGTACTTGAGTGCCTTAGCCCAATGGGGCACTGAGTACTATTTGCTTAAATTATTTTTTCTTGATTTAATTTTGAATATGAGGTTAGACTGATATGATTTCACACTAATAAAAAAAAATCAATATTTAGGGGCAGGTAAATAATTTGTTTTTTTAGATAATTAACATTTAGTAAAATGTTTTAGTGTTGATGAAAGAATTGAAGGGAGAATATATCATTTATATCTAGAACCACATTGGTTCTAGATATAAATGAGAGTAGATATGCAGCCCAATAAATAAAGTGGTTCTGCTTTTTGCAATACACTTGATTTGCAGATGTACTACATAAAAGATCAATAAAAAGAAATTATGATTATCATTTTGGCAAACTTCATTGAAAATTCACAGAAAATAAAGTAAACAATTTTTTTTCTCCCACAAAGAAACATTGGATAGACATGAAAACAAATACTTAATTTACAGGAGGATGATCTCAGAGGCTTACCAGATACTAAAGGTATTCGGTATATAGAAATGGGCCGGTATGAAATGGAGGCCTGGTATCAGTCCCAGTATCCCGATGATTATAATCAACAACCAAAAATATATATCTGTGAGTTCTGCCTCAAGTACATGAGATCGAAGACCATTCTCTCAAGGCATGCTGCGAAATGTGTGTGGAAGCATCCCCCGGGAGATGAAATATATAGGCAAGTTGACTGAAAATCATTTTTGATTATGATGCCGATATACCAATTGTTTATTTTTTCAAGTAAATGTAACAAGTAGATGTTTAAAGAAAGTGGATGAAAAATATATTGAAAGATTGAGTATTTTATAAAATCCGTTCTTCTTTTATTTGTTTTGCCGTGCTAGTATGTGTCATGCTTTCTCAGAAGTAAAATGTTAGTCAGAAATATAAACTTGATGATTAAGAAGTATCAGAAATATATTTACTCTTCAGAGATTTTGCTGTGAATGTAGATTACTTTAGTAATTTCTTGCTACCATTTTACAGAAAAGACAAGCTGTCGGTGTGGGAGGTGGACGGCAAAAAGTACAAAATATACTGTCAGAATCTCTGTTTGCTTGCTATGCTTTTCCTCGACCACAAAACCTTATACTACGACGTGGAACCATTCCTCTTTTACATAATGACACAGGCTGATGGCGAAGGCTGCCACATCATTGGGTATTTTAGTAAAGTAAGTGAGATATTTATTTTCTTCTTTTATCGTACAGAATGGCAGTTGGCCATGTTACCATGTTCTGTTGTTGTTCATCACTATCATTTTCCTCTTCTCTTTCTCCTTCTCCTTCTCCTTCTCCTTCTTCTCCTTCTCCTTCTCCTTCTCCTTCTCCTTCTCCTTCTCCTTCTCCTTCTCCTTCTCCTCCTCCTCCTCCTCCTCCTCCTCCTCCTCCTCCTCCTCCTCCTCCTCCTCCTCCTCCTCCTCCTCCTCCTCCTCCTCCTCCTCCTCCTCCTCCTCCTCCTCCCCCTCCTCCTCCTGTTCTTCCTCCTGTTCCTCCTCCTCCTGTTCCTATTCCTATTCCTATTCCTATTCCTATTCCTATTCCTCCTCCTCCTCCTCCTCCTCCTCCTCCTCCTCCTCCTCCTCCTCCTCCTCCTCCTCCTCCTCCTCCTCCTCCTCCTCCTCCTCCTCCTCCTTTTTGTCCTTCATTTCCCCTGCTTCCTTTATATCCTCCCCTCCTACTCCATCTTCACCACCTTTTTATTATTCTCATTTTCATATATCCTTTATTAGTGTTGTCAGCAGTGACAGTAACACTTAGAGAGGGGGATCTCCTTCAGTCCTGTTTCTCCCCACCCCCCACCCCCTCCCCCCCCGCTCCTTCCCTCGCGACACCCTCTTCCTTCGTTTTCCTTCTTCCCTCTTTGGTCACACTATAAGCAGTATGCGAGGTATATGTTAGCAGAAGGGGAGATTGGGGGGAAGGAAGGGGAAGGAGGGGAGAGGGTAAGGGATTTGGGATAAGGGAAAGAGGGGAGAGGTGTATGGGAGAGGGGGAAGGGATAGGGGATCGGTGGAGAGGGGGAGGGGATGAGGGGAGAGAGGAGGGGGTGAGGTTGTAAATGGCAATGGTGGGAGTGGGGAGTACATTTGGGCTGTTGTGCTAGTTATGTTATTTTCTTTGTGCCTCTCGTTTCGTTTTCTCTCTTGGAGGTGATCTTTCTTTTTTCTGTAAATTCCTTTCTCTCTCTCTCTCTCTCTCTCTCTCTTTCTCTCTCTCTTTCTCTCTCTCTTTCTCTCTCTCTCTTTCTCTCTCTCTTTCTCTCTCTCTCTCTCTCTCTCCCTCTCCCCCCCTCTCTCTCTCTCTCTCTCTCTCTCTCTCTCTCTCTCTCTCTCTCTCTCTCTCTCTCTCTCTCTCTCTCTCTCTCTCTCTCTCTCTCTCTCTCTCTCTCTCATATCCCTTCCCTTCCCTTCCCTTCCCTTCCCTTCTCTTCCCTTCCCTTCCCTTCCCTTCCCTTCTCTTCCCTTCCCTTCCATCCCATTCCACCCCCCTCCCCTCCCATCCCCACCCCTCCTCACCAGTCCCCTCCCTTCCCATCCCCACCCCTCCTCTCCAATCCCCTCCCCTCTCCCTTCCCCTCCTCTCCAATCCCCTCCCCTCCTCTCCCCCCTCTCCTCCCCATCCCTCCCCCTCTCCTCCCCATCCCTCCCCCTCCCTCTCTTCTTCCCTCTTTCGTATATCTTCCTTTCCAGTCTTCCTTATCCGCCCTTAATCAGATCAGGGCGAGATGAACGCCGTGTGGCAGTGGCACTCTTCCACAAGTGCCGCTTAGGGGCCACCGCGACGGGGTAGATGTAACGGGGAAATGTGACGCGTGAGATGTTGCAAGGTAGGTGCTATGGGGTAGATGTAGCGGGTAGACAGATGGATGCACAGGGATAGACGTAGTGAGGTGTATGTGATGCGGTAGATGCTGCGGGCGGCAAATGCGACGCGATAGATGATGTGGGGTAGATGTAGAAAGTATGGGCTGGGTGTGACGGCTGGGCAGGCAGTGTGGTGGATGTGGCGGGTAGATGTTACAAGGTAGCTGCTGTGAGGTAGCTGTGACGGGTAAGTAGGGTGTGACGGGTGACAGATAGATGCATAGGGATAGGTAAGGAGGGTAGATGTGAGGGAATTAGATGTAACGGTATAGCGAGAGGGTCGTAATGGTAGGTGTGACGGGTAGATTCAAACGGAGTGTTTGTGACGACAGCACATGTGTTCACAAGGATTGATACCTAACGTCATGGGGGAAATGAGGGACTAAAATGAGGGATTGAATTAAGGATGAAATGGGGTGGGTGTGGGAGGGAGGGAGGGAGGGAGGGAGGGAGGGATGGAGGAAGGGAGGGAGGGAGGGAGGGTAGGGTTATGAAAAAAATGAATTGGAAAGGAGGTAGGGGAAGGGGGAGAGAGAGGGGGGGAGGGTTAGCATAGCAGAGGGTGGAGAGAGAGGCATGAAAAGAGGGGTTAGAATGAGGGTAAAGGGAGGGGAGGGGAGGGGAGGAAGGGAGGGGAGGGTAAGACCATGATGGGTGAGGGGAGAAATAGACGAAAGAGGGGAAGCAAAGAGAAATCAGATGCAAGAGAGGCGTAGGGTGGGTAAAGTGATGATGAAAGGGAGGGAGAGATGGAGGTAGGTTGAGGAGAAAGGAGAATAAAAGAGAGAATGGTCAAACGGAGAGTAAAGAGAAGGGAAGAGGAAAGGGGGAAAAGGAAAGAGTCAGAGGAAGTGAATGGAGGATAAAAGAGAGAGAATGAGCTAACGGACAGTAAAGAGAAGAGAAGAAAAGAGGGGAAAGGAAGGAGTTAGAGGAAGGGAAAGGAGGATAAAAGAGAACACGGAGTAGAGAAGAGCACAGGGAGAGGGGGAGGGGGGCCGCGGGAAAAGAGTGGAGGGTGAACATACGGCAATGCCCCCGAGGGATCAGCAGTGTGCCATGAAAAGGAGCGCGGGTGGTCATGACATTTGGATTAATCGCTGCCTTTATTTTGATTTTTCTCGTGGAGGGGCGGGGTGGAGGGGGGTGGGTGGGGAGACGGGGCTGGAGCAGGGGGTGGAGCAGGGGGTGGAGCAGGGGGCCACAGGGGCGGATCATGAACCTGTTTGTCATTTGTCGGGTCCTTGCTCTTGTCCGTCTGTCTGTGTCTGTCTTGTCTGTCTGTCTGTCTGTCTGTCTGTTTGTCTTGATTTCTTCCCGTGTGTGTCTGGCTGGATGGTTCTGTTGTCTGTCTGTCACTGTCTCTTTCTCTCTTTTTTTTTCTTCCTCTTCCTCTCCATCTCCATCTCCATCTCCCTCATCCTCTTCCTCTCCCTCTCCCTCTCCCTCTCCCTCTCCCTCTCCTTCTCCTTCTCCCTATCCCTCATCTTCTCCCTCTCCCTCTATCTCTCCCTCTCCCTCTCCTTCTCCTTCTCCTTCTCCCTCTACCTCATCTTCTCCCTCTCCCTCATCTTCTCCCTCTCCCTCTATCTCTCCCTCTCCCTCTCCTTCTCCTTCTCCTTCTCCTTCTCCCTCTCCCTCATCTTCTCCCTCTCCCTCATCTTCTCCCACTCCCACTCCCTCTCCCTCTCCTTCTCCCTCTCCCTCTCCCTCTCCCACTCCCTCTCCCTCATCCTCCCTCTCCCTCTCCCTCTCCCACTCCCTCATCCTCTCCCTCTCCCTCTCCCTCTACCTCCCTCTCCCTCCCTCTCCCTCCCTCTCCCTCCCTCTCCCTCACATCCTCCCGCTCCCCCCCTTTTCTCTCCTTTCCTAACCCTCTCCCTCCTCCTCTCACCTTCTCCCCCCCCCCCCCCCCAGGTTTTGCCCTCATCCCACAACCCTCAGTCCTCCCGCATTCTCTCTCTCCCCCTCATTTACTCTTCGGCTGTTGTCCTTCTCCCTCCTTCGTTTTTTTCCTTTTGTTACTCTTCTTCGCTCGCTTTCTCCCTCTTTGTTTTTTTCGTCTTTTTTATTCTTCATTAGTCTTCTTTATTCTTGTTTTAATTTTATCTTCGGTTTCTTTTTTTCTTGTATTTCATCTATTTCTTGTATGTACTTACTTTTTCCTGTATTTCCTGTATCATCATCATCATCATCATCATCATCATCATCATCATCATCATCATCATCATCATCATCATCATCATCATCATCATCATCATCATCATCATCATCATCATCAGCATCAGCATCATCGTTATTATTTTATCATATTGTTGTTATCATTATTATTTTATTATTATTATTATTATTATTATTATTATTATTATTAGTAGTAGTAGTAGTAGTAGTAGTAGTAGTAGTAGTAGTAGTAGTAATAGTAGTGGTAGTAGTGGTCGTAGCAACAGGAGCAGTAGCAGTATTATTAGTAGTAAGTAGTGGTAGTGATAGAGGTAGGAAGTAGTAGTAGTAGTAATAGTAGTTGTAGTAGTAGTAACAGTAGTAGTAGTGAATGTATAGTTATTACCCCAAATATTATTGTCATTATTCTTCTAGCTGATACGATTAGCATTTGTGCTCCGAATGCTGAAAGGGGAAAAAGGTATTGTAATCGATCTATATCCCGTGTATCCTTCCGCGAGGAGATTTTCCCATGCCACGTGCGCAACAGCTGGTTGGTGGGGCCTCCAAGGTGGCGCCTCTCTCCCTGGCTGTCGCTCTCCCTTTCTGTCTCCCGTTTCTCCCTTTTCCTTCTTTTTTGTCTGGCTGTATTGAGCTTTGTGTCTGTCTTTGTCTTTCCTCGTTTTTTCCTCTGTTTTCTCCGATTTTTTTTCTTTTGCTCCGCCATTTTTTCTCTTTCTGTTTCTTTTTCTTTCGTTTTATATGATTATCTCGAGTTTTCCTCTTTCTCTTCTCCCTCTCTCCTTGTTCTCTTTCTTCATATTTTTCTCTATCCTTTTTCTTTTTCTTCCTTTTTCTCTCTCTTCCCCTTTCATTTCACTGGCTCTCCCATTTTCTTTCTCTCGCTTCTCGCCTTGTTTAGCGCCCTTTCCCTCTCTCCTATTCTTGCGTTCTCTCCCTCTCCGTATCCCAGATACCTTCTCTTGTGCTCTCTTTTTCCAGTCTCTTCGACTCGAGATAGACACAGCCATAAAACAAAAACTGCAACGGCCTAAATAACGAGACCACCACCACCACACCACCACCACCACACCACCACCACACCACCACCACCACACCACCACCACACCACCACCACACCACCACCACACCACCACCACACCACCACCACCACCACCACACCACCACCACACCACCACCACCACCACCACCACCAC